ATTTGTATTGATTTCAGAGAGGAAGGGAAAGGAAGAGAGTGATAGAAACATCAATGATGAGAGAGAATCATGGATTGTCTGCCGCCTGCACACCCCCCGCAATGGGGATCGAGCCCCCAACCCCAGCATATGCCCTTGACCGGAATCGAACCAGGGACCCTTCAGTCCGCAGGGCAACGCTCTATCCACTGAGCCAAACCAGCCAGGGCTCAAGAGCAGATCTTATGACAAGGTCTGGTGTCAGCCGGGACAATTTTATTATCTCGATAATTGTGAAAAGTCGATTCTCTGGGCAGAGACCTGGCAATGTTAACTTTCACTGTTGGTTTTGTGAAGAGTGAAGTAGGGAGAAGGCAGCAGTTTTGAATTTGATGAGGTCTTTTGAGTATCCTGGGTGACAAATACCATCAGCATTCTTCAAGATCATTTCCAGAAAAACACTGATGGTGGTGTAGGATTTGCCATCATTTACGACCTGCAGGGTGATGGGGATAGTAAGCATCTTGCTCCTGAAGCTAACCAACACTTCTCTCATTTTGTTGTTGTTGTTAATCCTCACCCAAGGATATTTTTTTCCATTGATTTTTAGAGAGAGTAGAAGAGAGTGGGAGAGACAGAGAGAGATACATCCACTGGTTGCCCCTCTCATGCGCCCCAACTGGAGCCAGGGATTGCGCCTGCAATCAAGTTAAGGGCTCTTGAGGGGAATTGAACCCAGGACCCTTCAGTCTGCAGGCCCATGCTCTAACCACTGAACGACTGGCTAGGGCTTGGTGTCCTGGTTTTAAATGTGGTCCTGTGTGTGTTCTGAGCTAGTGGAAGCTCCAGGCATATCTTTTTCTTTTTTTTTTAAATATTCTCTCTCATCATTGATGTTTCTCTCTCCCTCTCCCTCTCTTCTCCTCTCGGCAGGCTGGGGCTTCAGCATGGGCACCCACTACCACTACCACAGCTGGAGGGTGTTTGTCATCGTCTGCGCTCTGCCCTGCACCGTGTCCTTGGTGGCCCTGAGGTTCATGCCCGAGAGCCCACGGTTTCTGCTGGAGGTGAGTCAGCGCTCCTGCCCCGCGTCGGAGCGGCGGTGAGACAGCTCCCAGAGCTGGCTCTGCATTCTCAGCCCTTTAGACCCTCGTCCTCGCTGGCTGCCTGTGATGGTGGCTTGCCCGGGACTCAGGGACTGCCTAGGCAGGGGGCTCAGGAGCTCACCAAGCGCTAGGTGAAGGGGCTGGAGGGGGCGCCTCCTGAGTTGCTTCCGCCCCTCACTGTCTCTGGGTCCCGGTCATGAGGCTCTGCAAAGCTGCGTGGTGTTTCTCCTTGGGAGGTCTGTGGTGAAGCTTGTCGCTTTGGGACTCTTAGCCATGCAGGACCCCTCCTCACCCAAAGGCAGCTCCCGGGGTCCTGAGAGATGAGTCCCCGGAGCCTTCCACCTCGAAGGCAGTTCGAGTGGGTTTTTTAAAAATATATTTTTATTGATTTCAGAGAGAGGAGGGAAGAGGGAGAGAGAGAGAGAAACATCAGTGATGAGAGAGAATCATTGATCTGCTGTCTCCTGCATGCCCCCTTCTGGGGATGGAGCCCGCAATCTGGGCATGTGCTCTGACCGGGAATTGAACTGCGTGCAGCGGTCAGACCGGGTTGGGCTGGTAGAGGGGCAGTAGGACTCACTGGCTGTTGCAGCCCCAAGTCTGAGTCCACTTGTGGGCCTCCTTGATCTTTCTTCAGAGCGAAATTTCCCACTGACTAAGAGACAGATGCAGCAGGAAGTGGGTTTTTTAAAAATATATTTTTATTGATTTCAGAGAGAGGAAGGGAGAGGGAGAGAGAGAGAGAAACATCAGTGATGAGAGAGAATCATTGATCTGCTGTCTCCTGCATGCCCCCTTCAGGGGATGGAGCCTGCAATCTGGGCATGTGCTCTGACTGGGTATCGAACTGTGACCCCCCTGGTTCATAGGTCAATGCTCAACCACCGAGCCACACCGGCCGGGCAGCAGGGAGTGTTTTTAACCAGGGATATCGCAAAAGTTACCCGCTGCTGTGTATTAGTGTCCTGGAGCTGCTGTAACAAAGGAACACAAACTGGGTGGCTCTGAGGAATGGACACTTGTCTCAGCATCTGGAGGCTGAAAGTCCAAGGTCAAGGTGTGGACGGGGCCACACTCCCTCTGGAGCCCCCAGGGGAATCCTTCCTCACCTCTTTTACTGGGTTCAAAGCTCTATCACACCAGTTCCTGCCTTTGTCATCACACATGTCTGCCATGTGGGTCCCTGTGTCTTCACACGGTGTCTTCTTATAAAGACCCAGTCCTATGGTTAGGGGCCCACCTACTCCAGAATGCAATTCTTTTTCCAAAAAGGTCACACTGTGAGGTCCTGGGGGTTAGGACTTCAGCCTATCTTTTGGGGGAGGGGCACAGCGCAACTGGTGCCATGCTGTGTCTTTGCTTTATCCTGTCAGGGACTAAATGACCTCCACCCAGGAGCCCATTCAATCTTACAGCTGCAGCAGCTGCAGTGCAAAATGATGTTAATACTGAGCATTCACACCTTGAAGCCACAACCTCATAATCCTCCCACCGTGGGCTGGGGACAGAAACGTGTCCTCATCTCTCATAAGCCCTGCGTAGTCACAAGACCACAGCCCCTCGCCTCAAACGCAGGTGTCAGCATTCAACAGCAAAGGGCTCCTCACCTGTCTTTCCTTGGTTTACCAGATGGGCAAACACGACGAAGCTTGGATGATTCTCAAGAAAGTCCATGACACCAACATGAGAGCTAAGGGGACCCCGGAGAAGGTGTTCACGGTGAGTGGGGGGTCGTCTATGCCAGCAACAGGGACTGCTCCTCTTTTCTGGTTTGGTTTGCTGAACAATAATGTTGTTATGTAAGCACAGCCCAGAAAACTTGTCTCTGATAAATAAGACCCCTGACATTCTTATCATAATAAGTTCGTTGCATTTTGATGGATTTCCCTTTCAGTACCAATAATAATGAAAGATAAAACTAGCTGTGTTCATGGGGGGGATAACATAATTGCATGTATTCACAAGTACGTGTTACTTAAGAGTTCTCTTGCTTTATCCTATACAGTACTCTGTATGTTGTCTCATACTGTTCATAAGCATGCGTTTAAAAATATATATTTTATTGCTTTCAGAGAGGAAGGAAGAGGGAGAGAGAAAGATCAATGATGACAGAGAATCATTGATTGGCTGCCTCTTGCACAACCCCCACTGGAGATTGAGCCCGCAATCCTGGTGGTCAAGGGCACATGCTCTCTTCACTAAGCCAAACAAGCTAGAGCCATAAGCACGCTTTTTATTTTATCCTCATCTGAGGATTTTTTTTCCCATTGAAGGTAGAGTCAACCGTACTGTGGGAAAATCAGATATACATGGGAATTTAGTGAATTATTACCCATTAATTTCAAGGCTTGACTGAGGGATACATTTTTGTCTGCAGTGGGGTAAATATCCCAAAGAAATGCTATCTACACCTTTGGTTATAATGTGCACTATTAACCGGTACACCAAGTGTGCATTGGGCTGGGGGTGGAGCCTGCAACCAAGGTACATGCCCTTGACCAGAATCTGAACCCAGAATCAGTCCATGGGCCAATGCTCTAATCACTGAGCAAAACTGGCTAGGGCTGTTCTGTCGTGTTTTCAAAATGTCCTACATAGCAAATCCCATTTCCCCATCATACACACACACACACACACACACACACACACACACACACACACACTATTGCCTACATGGGTTCTAGAATTCTGTGATGTTAATAACCATTGAGGATAAATTTGTGGTTTTTAAGGTAGAGTCAACCCTACTGTGGGAAAATCTGATATACATGGGAATTTAGTGAATTAGTACCCATTAACTTCAAGGCTTGACTAAGGGATACGACTGATTCTTTTTTGTCTGCAGTGGGGTAAGTATCCCAAGGAAATGCTGTGCACATCTTTGGTTATAATGTGCACTATTAACCGGTATACCAAGTGTGCATTATTAACCGGTACACCAAGTGTGCACTATTAACCGGTACACCAAGTGTGCACTATTAACCGGTATACCAAGTGTGCAC